CCTGCTGTGCCTATGGGAGTGAAATTCCCCCAGCCTGAGGGAATGGTATGAAGCTGTGTCAGAGGAGGTTTAGGTTGGATATCAGGAAAAGTTTCTTCACCCAGAGGGTGATTTGAGTTTTTTTGTTTTTTGGTTTTTTTGGGGGTTTTTTTTGAGGTTGGATATCAGGAAAAGTTTCTTCACCCAGAGAAGTGATCATAGCACCAAGCCTGACAGAGTTCAAGAAGTGTTTGGACAACACTCTGAGGCACATGGTGTGACTCCTGGGCTGGCCTGTGCAGGGCCAGGAGTTGGTTTTGATGACTCTAGTGTGCCCCTTTCAGTTCAGGATATTCTTTGATTCTGTGATTCTATGACAACTGAATTAGAGGAAACTTCATCAGCATGTTGGACTGCACAGGCATTCTGCTGGTGTGTGATGTGAATCTTCCCTGACGCAACAGATCCTTCTTACATTAGGTAAAATCTGAACTTACCAAATCTTTTCATTGTGGAGATGTCAGCATGTTTGCACTAGACAGAGAGGAGGGCATGTTTAATATCCATGAACTCTGGAATCTCTCTTATTGGCTTCATCAGGGCTTGTCTCCAGTTAGGAAACTGTAAGCCCACAGTTATGGTGGGCTTTCCTCTGCTCCTGGTGTGTCAGGCTCTTTAGTACCACAGTAGAAGTTACTGAAGTGAAGCTCCTGGAGCAACACATTTCTCCTGTTGACCTGAGGACCTACAGGCTATTTCTACACTAGAAGGTGAAAAATGGGCATTGAAGGAGAAGAAAATATCCTAGTCCCTTCTACTTCATGTCCATTTTGCTGGCTATTAGCAGCAGTCATTCTGACTTGAGGTGTCTCATCTCACACATTAGCTGTATGCAGTGCCTGATTTTGCTATTTTTTTTTCTGGATATTTACCTTTATGTGAAATGCTCCATGCTATGTACACACATATTCTTCTCAAATACAGATTTAGGGACTTGAAGATGAGTAGGTCAGATGGGTGATAAAAATTTGGACATGTTTACGTGGCCAAGTAAATTCTATTGAAAGACTGCTTCTATACTAATAAATTAAGCATGCCTTATACTGTTCTTGGCCTTGAGGCTTACTTCTGTACAATGGTTGTCTCACCCTCCAAAACATGGTGGCTTTATGCTGACTTGTTATTAGGAGTGACCCCTGTTCCCTCCTAACTCTTGAACTCTGCACAAAAGTGGTTTGGGGGAGTGCTGCTGGCACCGACCAAAGCCATTCCAGATGCTGTGGTAATAACATGCTACAGGTAATAAAGTTCCCATGCCCAGAGATGTTTCCCACCACTGTTATGCCACAGCAATAGTAGACAACCTTATGTTTAGCGAGAATGGAGCCAGTGAACTGGGCTGACATGTTTCCAGTCCCACCTTCTCTGCAGGCTGCAGGAAAAAAAAAAGGTGCTCACATCTCATATGCTCACATCTCATATGTCTTATACCTCTTCCCTAAATCAAGCTTCAGATCTTAGGCTATACTCAGTGATGGAATAAAGATTTACAGCATGGAAGACTGACCGTGTTTGGTGTTGACCCTTCACTTAGCTGACAGATAGACAAAGCCTTCCTTGTAGTCCCAGGGGAGGGAATTGTGTTAGGAAAGTATCCTGAACGATGCCTGACTCATCCTCATGATAGCACATCATAATACCACATCATATTCTCACTGAGGGAGATAGAGCTGACCAGACCAGAACTTCCATCATTATGTAATGGATGTGTGCTGGGAATATGGATCAAAACTGTAACACTTCCCTCCCCACTGCTACTCTAAACTGCATCGTGCATCGAGAAACACAATAGATCACCAGCACAGAAAATATATCAAGTGTGGATTTGAAACATTCCAGTTGGGTAGTCAAGTTGCTTGTTACCAAAGGCATATGGCTTAAGCAACTGCTATACTGAAAGACTGTTAAAATTAAATTGTGAATTGACATCTCAGTCGTTGCAGCCCTGGAGCAGAGTGGCTGCCTCGCTGTTTCGCAATGGAGAATCTAAGCGTAGCAACACAGGGCTTAGTCTGCTGAATAGTGTGCAGTATTATGTAATTTAATAACATTAAACTAGGATGTTCTGATAATATTATTTGAAAGCTGTTTAATTTATTTAATACCATTTATATTTTATATGTCAGTTGAATTTGGGGAAAAAGGATTTTAGAAGAAACTGGGGGGAGCGCGGTAGGAAATTGTGCAATGTACTTATCTGAGACTACATCACATGGTCTGCAAAGCATGGCTTTTGCTTTTATACACATAGTCTTGGCGACTCTCCCACCAGCAACAACAGTGCTCAGACTCATACTGATGTCACTGTTGAGTTATTTAATTTGACTGAACGAGATTAATGTGTTTATTTAAAACCTTGGTCAAAATGGAAAAGAAAATCTCAGGACAATACTTTTATGTGAACATGTATGTTTTCACATCTGATGATTGTAATGTTGCATTAACTTATCAGGAGTAGTTGTTTACACATGCCAATGCCCAGGAGACCCCCTCAGATAAGAAGTGTGAGCCTTTTCCCTCTCAGCATAGAGCAGAGACTTCTACACTGCTACTGGTCCAGTGGGCTTTCATCCCAGGCTTTCCTTGCTTCCTGTTGCTGCTTTCAAGGTTGATCCACAGTGATCCCAGCATTGTTTTATATTCTCGTGTGACGACGAGTTTGGTGCCACCAGGGAATGCCAGCAATGTGTTGGTGGATCCTCCACAGGTTCTCACCAGGGCAGCGAGGGACAGACACTTCCACTGCACAGGATGTCTGGATGGGGCTGGTGCTGGGCTCTGTAGCCTGCTCCTGCAAGGACTGGAGCCTGCCTGTCTAAATTTTATCCACATTATGTTTTACAAACAGATTGAGGGTGTTTTTTCCTGTGATAAATCACTCTGATTTTCCTTCATTTTCACGTGTACCCCCTAAGTGTTTGGAATAGACTTTGGTTTTGTCTAGAGGCATTAGTAACTATCCAGTTAAAATACTCCAGGTCATTGGACTTCTACTAATGTAGAGCAGGGAAAAAAAATCTGGAATCTGAATGTTCTTTTTGTATGGTGGGACAGGTTTCCACAGTCCTGTGTAATTGATCTTTGACTGATGAAGTGCATGAGGGAGGGGGTTTCTGCCGTGCTCTGTCAAGAGCCCTCTTGACAGTCGGGGACAAATGGACACACACATAAGTTGATAATGTAGAAATTGCATAAGCCAGAGCTCAGTGCTGTGGTGGGTGCCCGAAGCAAGGTGTGCCTGTTCTGTTTTCCTGTTTTGTAGTTCCTTTGTGCATGATTTTATGGCGCTTGGCATATGAAAATCTCGGGGAAGAGCAGCTGCTGCCAAAGAGTTGCTTTCATGATTTCTGCTCTGTGGGGACAAGTGCTTCCATCCTCCTAGTGCAGTGGAAGGCTTTTGGGACTTTGAGCTCCTTCCCCCACCACTGCTGCTGTTGTGGAGGAAGGGAAAAAGCTTGTTATGTTTCCATGTATCTGCATTTCTCAGTGATGGGCATCTCTCAAAGGGAAATGCAGTGGAGCATAGGGATGGGCATGAGAACAAAACAGAAGAGCTGGGAGAAAAACAGCTCTAGGCAGTCCTTGGTCCTCAGTAAACATCACAACCTGTCCAAGAGGCTGTGCTGCCCTGGGCCATGTGTGCTCACACTGCAGCATGCTCCAGAGCTGCATGGCGCCGAGGGTATCCAAGTATGCCAAAGAACCAGTCCTTAAATTGGCCTCCTGTCTCACTGTGTTGTACCTGTGCCTGCACATGGTGTCCCCAGGTGCCCTCTGAACTCTTACAAGACCTGTATATTCAAGGAAATTGCACAAAATATGGTTTGTGAAGCTCTGCCGCTCCCTGTGCTGGGCAATATCTGTCTCCCCAGTGGCTGCATCTAAGTGGTGCTGAGGACTGGGAGCAGGCCTTTATTGGTGGGGCAAAAAGGTCCACAAGGGTGGGCTAGGGCAGTCATGGAACTGCTTTTCTAGAGGCATCCATTTGGAAGCTGGCCCCATCGCTTGTTTCAAGTGCCCTCTGTGTGGTTCAGACTTTTGGATTTGCTTTGCACAGGGGGTCCATGAAATATATTTAAAGCAGTAAATAGCTTGACATACAAGGACATTTTTTCCTCAGAGTTCCAGTCAGTGGAAATATGTAATTTTCAGCTAAAATTAGACTGGCTCCAGCTATATGGAAAAAAAAAAAAAAAAAAAGGAAAAGCCCTCAAGAGCTAAACTCTTTCTGTTGGACTTTGTCAGATGTAGCAACTCCTAGCAAAATAACTCAGGATCCATCCACTCAGGATCCATCCAGCACAAACTGTGTCCAAAAGTCTGTGATTTGGATCCAGAAAGCTGTGAACTGTTGATGAGAGAGAAACAAACTGTATAGGCAAAAAAGATGTTCTCTTCCATGTAAGAAAATATAAATAAGTTTAGAGAATAATAATAAATCTTTCAAAAGCCTTAAATGAAATCCAGGAGAATTTTAAATTAATTTTGCAGTTAATATTTTACAACTCTTGACAGTACAGTGAGATTGGAGTGGCAGAGAGCGAGTTGAAATCAGAACAGTGTTCTACTCATTGCTTCCATAGAATTTGGTATCACAGATTTATTTTCATAGAAGATGATTGAGCTGAACCTACAGCTACCAGCCTATAAAAAGGAGGGTAAATTTTATTTTGTACTAATAATAATCTTAGTCCTGCAACCATTTGCCTGGTGCATTAAACTCTAAACACAAGTTGAAGTGACTGGATACTTTACAATTTCCATGAAATCCCCAACTCTAAAATGAGTGGGGTGGATAGTGTGGAAGAGAGGCTTGGGCCCAAAATAAACATTAAAAACCAAACAGAAAACCACTGAAAATTAACTACACATTTTGAATGATTTCTCTTTCAAAACATTTTATTGAGGGAACAATGGAAATAGTGTGTGAAGCCTAACCATGTATTGTGTTGCTGTTCCAGGCTTCATCAGCAGTTTCTTGATGTTTGGAAAGTTCTGAGACCCACCCTGTTAGACTACTTGTGCCTAAGACTACAAAAACGTACGTGTGAAAGAACCTGTCTTCCTTCTTCCACTGAAGGAAGTGTCCATCGCAGCACTGTGGAAACGCCGTGCAGGCCTTGCAAGGCAGGAGAACAGTTTGTGCTTCCCTTGACGCTCGTGCGCAATCTCTGCTTCTTATGCACTCCAGCACCCCTATCAGCTCCTTGTTCTCCTTCACCAGCCCCGCAGTGAAAAGGCTGCTGGGCTGGAAACAAGGAGATGAAGAAGAAAAGTGGGCAGAAAAAGCTGTTGATTCCTTGGTGAAGAAGTTAAAGAAGAAAAAAGGAGCCATGGAAGAACTGGAGAGGGCTCTGAGCTGCCCGGGTCAGCCCAGTAAATGCGTCACGATCCCACGTTCCTTGGACGGGCGGCTGCAGGTGTCTCACCGCAAGGGGCTTCCCCACGTCATATACTGCAGAGTGTGGCGTTGGCCTGACTTACAGTCTCACCATGAGCTGAAACCACTGGAATGTTGTGAGTTCCCTTTTGGCTCAAAACAGAAAGAAGTGTGCATCAACCCCTACCATTACCGGCGGGTGGAAACCCCAGGTAATTATGTCATCTGCAGATGATTCGCATCTCTGTGTTAGCTCTTGCTCTGGCAGGTCCTGTCTTGGTGCATCCTACAGCCTTGCTCTGAAATGTGAAAAGGCAGGTTCCATCTGATGGAAGGATCTTGTGTCTCACCCTGCCTGCTGCTATCATAGCTCTGGCAGCCAGGATTAGGGAGGGAGTAAGGAGCCCCTCTCCCGTTGGGGTCTGAGTCCCGTCGGACCCCTGAGGGTACCCGGATCTTGTCCAAGGTGCTGAAAGCAGCTTCCTCTCCCTGGACGTGGGTGCTGAATCCTCCCCATCTGAACTGGTTTGCATGAAGTCCGGGCACCAGCCTGGCCTCACCACCGTGGTGAGATTTATGTCTCACTGAAAACTAACAGTTGACTCATTAAGCCCCAGGAAACACTAGCTCTCTCTTTAAAGATAAGAGTTGCAGTAAAATGGCATATTTTGCAGTGAATGCCAAACCAGGTCAGTTGATTCTTCCTAAAATACATGGTGGACTGCCTTAAGTGGGATTTACTTACCTAAACGGAGAGTTTATGCGAAATAAATCCATCAGGTTCCCATAAAACTTTGACATTTTCTACTGATAACCCTCTTTGGACTGCACTAAAAACTTATGACCTCACTGAAAGGTCATTTAATTGGGCTTTATGTCAATGAAACAGCTGTTAAAAAATTGTAGTGTTCAGTGTTGACTTCTATAGGGATCTTGGAAAACAGGGCTGGCAAAGGTCTTTAGCAGTCATCCTGTTTTCCTCTGCCCAGACTCCTGAACCAAACGAAATTACCAGGTATATTCCTGACAGATATTTTCCTAATAAGCTCTAAAAATCCCATGTGATTAAGGCTTTACAACCTCCCCAGGCAAGTGAAGCTATTGCTTTTCTATCCTTACAGTTCAAAATGATTTCTAATGTCTAACCTGGCTCTCCCTTACTGCCAAAAATCTCGGTAATTTAATTTACTAATGGATACGGTTGGTAAGTGTATACTTTTTATTCTGAGATTACTCCTTGTCTGGCATGAATTTTACTCTGAGGTGACATTCTGATCAGATAAGTGAACCATGGGATGTTTCTTTTCACACAGATGAAATAAGGGAAAGACATTTGTTAACATTTGTTAACATTTGTTAAACACTAGGGGCTGCTTCCTCTTCTGATAATCCTTCCAGTGCAGCAGAGCTGTCATTGTGAAGGTGTATCCAATCTCCTGTAAACATTGTCAAAATTTTTATATTTTACAGCTACACTGAGTGGCGCTTGTTGTCAACAGTTTTCAGTGGACAAAGCTGATCTCATGCCTTGTTAAAGTAAACTCTTCAATAATTTAAGAAAAGATGCTCATAAAATATCCCATTTTTTTGTTTATTGCACTTCTTTATTTGCAGGCTGCAGTCTTTAGAGTCTTATTTCTTCTGGTGTAACTTTGGTGCAGTTAATGGAGTCTCCTCAAAGCTGACAGCACTGAACAGTGCTGATTTCAACCCTGGTTTTCTCATCTTTTCAGTGCCAGCTAACAAACACTGCTAATGGAATAGTCCAGCAGCTGCTAAATGGCTGCCAAAGCTTGTTGTTCTGATCCTGAAACTCAGAAGCTTTTGAACACGTGAACACATCTCTATTGTCTGTCTGTGCAGCAGAGTGGCGGTATCTGTGCTAGTAAAGTAGAAGGGGACAAGGTGCAGGTCTGGGTACTGCTGAATTGGTAACATGATCCCAGGAACAGCTTTCACCCATGTGGACTCGTGTGGACTAGCAGCTCTCAGAGTGCAGAGTTAGCCCACAGGAGGGACTTTGGGCACTTTGGACTCGGCCACCTTGTTCTGGAGGTGGAAGTGAGTGCAACTGTGAGGATACAAGCTGTGCTGTGCCAGTTCTCCACAGGACCCAGGAATTGCTCTCAGGCTGTTGTATTCACTCCTACAACTCTGCTCACAGGCACAGCTCAGAAGCCTAAGCTCACAGCCATAGTATATATTTGTACAGTGTAGCAGAGTGCAACCCACTCGGGTACTCTGGGGCAGCAGCAGCAGAGAGAACTTGCACCACTGCAAGTGGTGCAATGCAGCTCCAGTTAGAAAGCAGTGCTGCAAGGAGGGGTTGGCAAGGCAAGAGAACACATGAGCTTCATGAGAAAGTGGCAGCAGTGAGATCACTGCAGAAAAGGCTGGGAGTGGTTGATTTAGGTGCCAGTCTGTTTAAACAACAGTCCTCTTTTAACTGCAGGAAATCTGCATCTTGGCTGTTGGTGATTTTAGGCTTATATGAGATTCTCTGAGTTTCATCCTCTGGAGCTAAAGAATCCCTCACTGAATAAGTCAACACTGTATTTTTTATAATCCACATACCAGCCTTATTTTCATATGAATGTCCACCCTTTTCGGGATCATTTTCCATCACTGCAGTCTTTCTTGCTGAGTCAACCACTCAATGACCAGATCCATTAACTTCAATCCAGAATGAATGAGCTGTGTCCAAGATGGGAGGGCCTCATTCTTTCTTTGACAGCCTGGCAAATCCTCTGTTACTAGAGTACAGCTTTGAAATCTGGTCAGAGATTCTGGGATTTCATTACCTCTGCTGTGTCCTCAGGCGGCCCAGTCCCATTTTAGGCTCTGCTACTGAAACTGCACAGATTACACATGGCTTTTATTGCTGCTACAACTATTCCTGGCAGATTTCTTCTCAGGTCTGCTGAATAGCAGGTGCCACTTAGGAAAAAAAACCCAGAAAATATTCCCTATATGTGTGCAACATCCCATTGCAGAGAGGAGTTAGCCACCAAATCAGAAAGGGGTAGGTATGTTGCTTATGCTCTGCTTCCCCCTTCATTGTTGCCTTGTTGCCTTCAAAGAGCTTCTAAAAAGTCTGGTTTGGTGTCAGCAGAAGCTGCCTAAACATGTACCCTATCGTTTTTATAAGAGATCATTCATATGTAAGTATTGCAAATTTGAGGGTGCACCATTGCTCTGGATAGGAGAAGTTTTGACTTAGACTAACTGACTGCTTTCATGAAGCCTGAGTGGGACTAAGATGTGATAGCCTGCAAGGTGGAAGACCACCTGATGGCTTCACTGTTGGTCGTGTGCTTGGGAGTAGCCATGGGCACAGGGAAGAGGTGGATATCACTGGAGAGTGGTCTCCAAAAGTAGTAAACTATGCGGAGATGGATTAATGTGTGAGAAATCACAGTGTGGATGTTGTACCTGAAATTAAAATGAGGCAGAGAAGTTTGCTTGCTAGCATCTGAAGTCACAGGCACAGCCAGGTTCCCAGCAAGAACTGTTGAAGCCTAAAGGGAATGGGAGAAAGGTATGAAAAGCAGTGGCAGGACTTAGGACACGACCATATTTGTCTTCAGTTGAACAAAGATCATCAACACTTCAGCATGCATAGAAGGAAGGATCCACCTCTGGCTCTTGGTGGACAGTAGCACATAGAAGAAAAGGACCCCAGTGAGTGGAGAAAATGTGGATAATTTATGAGGACAGACAGGTCCCAACACATTCAGTTACTCGTAGATTTATGCCTCTGGTCACACTTCCTTCAGAGTGGCTGAGCCCTGGAGAGTGACATGTTACTGAAAGAACAAGGAGAACGAGGCCCTGGGGTATACTCTCAGCCACAAACAAGAACATCTCGGAATGCTTCCCCACCACAGAGGCTTCAGCCCTCCAGGCAGTCACAGAACAGTCAGTGGAAAGAGTGAGTGAAGTGGCAAACAAACTGTTCAGCAGAGCAGAAATTAAGAGTGCCATGGTCAGAGCTGGGAAGGAGTTCAAGGCTTGAAAATTCTTCCTGCTGACTCACTCAAGGCAAATCAAAGGCTTTCCCTGGCAAGCGCTGTTCACACATCCAGATTCTCAGCTTTCGTTTAGAGAAGGAGTTGAGTTCTCACAGGGCTAAAGGAAGCAGCTCCCTCAGCTGTGGTGCCCACAGTGAGGTGTCAGCCTCTCAACACTGCAGGACATTGCTGCACACAGCTGCCCCTTTCTCAACACCTCTGCTGGGTGCAAAATGATCTCCAGCTCCTCATTTTTGAAGGCTGCTGGTCGGAGCTGGCTGATCAGCAGCAGACCTGACAAGCATCAGACCAGTTTCATGGAGCTGCTGAGGAAAACTCCAGAAGCAGCAATAGTTCACAGCCTGGAGCTGTTCACAGCAGCATGGGATGGGAGGAATACAGCTCACCAAAACTATATCTGCAGTGCTGGTATTGGTCTTGTCTCAGTATATAGCAGTTAAAGAGTTTATTCCTCTCCACTGGCTGTGAAGAGGTCTGCAGGGGACTGGGCAGTGCATGCCAGATGTGAACACTTGTATTGCCTGTATGAGTCCTACCTGAATGTTTAAAGCTAAAGGAACAGCAAAGAAGCAGAAATACCTTTCTTTACCAAACAAGAAAGTGGCAGCAGACTCTTCATGCCACAAACAGGGGCATATGAGAGGCAGAAGGAAAGAAAATAGTCTCCAGAGCACCAATCCTTGTCTTGGCCAGGGTCTAATTAGCAATGCATTGGGCCAGAGAACCATGCATATGTGGTGTCCTAACAGGTATGCCAGTGCCTGTGTTTCTGGGCAGAGGAGAAGATAACTTCTGCAGTGAACTCCCTGCCATCAGTCCAATCTTTTGCAGTGTTAGGGCTCAGTTCTTCAGGTCATGGGTGACTAGCAAACTCCCAGTGGTATATTCCAGTGGGTGGGCAGACAAGTTGTTTACCCCTGCCTCTACTGCAGCATTGAGCAAGAAGCTGTGAGCCCATTGTTGGTACCAGGCACTGTAAATGCCCAGCTCTCTGAGCAACTGATGTGCATTCCAAGCAGAGTTCCTGCAGCCTCTTTTCATGCACATGTTTTGCATTATCTATACATTATTTGCTTTATTCAATAGCAATTATTCTACTCTTTCATTAAGCTGGATAAATGAGAGTTTGCTGTAATTAAAAGTTGTTAGCTAACCTACCTAAAAATAATTTGCCTTACCTAGACAGCTCTTTGGCTCAAGCAATATGTTAAAACATGTTCAAACTCTATATTCCCATCAACATTTAAAAACAAGAGTGTACATTGCTACTTGTTTCCATAAACCAGTAAGGATAGGCTGGAAGATGATGTGCTGCTGAATTTTAAGCCAGAGGAACTCTGGATACTAAGTCAGTCAATACAAGCCTGCTGAATTGTCCCTGATGCTGGGACAATTCATCCTTCTCACAATAACTCAAATTGCCTCCTTATCTTTTTTGGTGGCTTTTAGATCTACACGATACCAACTGGGAATTCATTCTCCCTACCTGTGCTGAAAGCCTTAACTAAGATAATTAGGCATTATGTGAGCTAGTAGCTAATAGAGAAATCTTGGAGTACAGGAATCACCCATTGTAGGGGCTGCTTTCTCCACCAAGGACTATGGAAGATGTGGTTAAAGCCTCAGGTTGAAGTCTCATATTGTAAATTTATCAGCAAGCCTCCTTGTGTTCCAGCCTAGGGACTGCATCTTCATAGGTATCTCACTAATCAGGGTTTTCAAAGTGTTTTGAGTCTTAATTCTACTATGTCAGAATCCAAAGTAATTTGGATCAGCTTTGGGTTTCTCAAAGGGGCAATGCTGTTAACAGCACTGACAGTGTGAGATAAAAAGGAAGAGAGTTTGTGGATAGGCAGTATCTTCTTCTAGGCTAATTTTTAAATGGGTTAATTTGGATTTCAGTTTTCTGGCCTGCATTTTTCATGTCTTAAATACCAACCACTGACATATGCCTTATTATGCTAGATCTTTTATAACTATATTGCAAGACCCAAATTGATATTGCTGCAATGTTTGAATTGCCATTTACATTTCCTTTCAAAGATCCCACTGTCTGTCTGGCAGCATTTTCAAGTACCTGATAACATTTTAGATCTGGTTTCAGGTCTGTACGTCTTTTTGCCCATCTGTAACACGCTGATAGTAAAATATGCAGTGTATTGTAGAGCACTATTAATTGTTATTAAACTTGGCTGTAAATTTGGCACATCCTGGTGATAATATTTAGAAAATTTCTGATGTGTTCAGTTTTTGAAGAAGGGAGGATTAGGTAATTTTGGAAGGGAGAGATATACCTCCTGAATTTCTGCATGCCATACTTGTGGTACCTTGCTCAAGTCAAGATTCCTTATTTTTCATGTGAAACTGCTGTAACTGGATGCAGATCTGGAGAAAAATGTCCAAGAATTCAGTTTTCATTCTTGACTTTGGACAGATTTATTACTCTTCAATGACTTGTATGCAGACAGCAATATTTGAGCAGCATGGAATATGCCTCTTTTTAACTTACAAGATATACTTTCAAGAACACAGCTTTAACCATTTTTCTGTTGTTTTTGTTTTCAGTCCTACCTCCTGTACTTGTTCCAAGGCACAGTGAATTTAACCCTCACCTCAGCCTCCTTGCCAAGTTTCGAAACACTTCTCTGCACAGCGACCCACTGATGCCGCACAATGCCACATACCCGGATTCCTTCCAGCATCCTCCGTGCACCCCTTTCCCTTCATCCCCCAGCCACATGTTCTCCCAGTCACCCAACAGCATCAGCTACCCCAACTCACCAGAAAGCTCTTCTGGACCAGGAAGTCCCTATCAGCTCACAGGTAAGAATGAGCTTTGGGACACCCTCACTGAGGCATTTGAGGGTTGTGACAGGGCCTGGGGTCAGGTGACAATTCTGTGCTCCCCCCAGACTGTAGCTGCAGATTGAACTGTTGGATAGAATGGACTTGGAATGTGATTTTTCATGACTGTCTCCTGTATATTGTCTCTCAGTCCTTCTGACAGATGCTCAAGAGATTGAGAACTGTAGTTGTCCTGCTCCTAGAAGTGCCTGGGTGCGATGACATGATTATTCTAGGGAAAAAACTGAGGAGAGAAGTAGGTGTGGCAGAAACGAGCACTTGCAAGACCTAAGTTAGGGACCTAGGGTGGTCAGGGTAGGAACCTTTAGAAACTCCATCAAGGAGACAGGATAAAATGGGGAAACTGGTGTGCAGAATTTTTTTTAAGTTTATGGCAGTCCTACTGACTGTATAAATTTCAGAAAGTTAAGATGTTTAACAATCTTGCCCAACACTTGGAGAAGTCACCAGACAAGTTCCTGTGACTTTGGAACATGTTCCACAGTTCCGAGATTAACAGGTTTATATCACTCAGATATAAGTTTGTGCTGTGAACTCCTGACTTAGTACAGCTCTAATTACCTGAAAATTTAACTGTGCTTTTGCTGCTAATGCAACACAGCTAAGAGCTAATTTTAATATCATAAAATGGTTCAGATTCACTTCAGCACTTTAACTTTCAAGCAGTTTCAGTTATGTCAGCTTTTTCACAAAGATGAATTCGGGTCAGAATCTTGTAATTTAAGATTTTAGTGTCTTAACTATGAAGCATTTAAATTCAGGTCCTTAATGATATGCCTATTTCATTTTAAGAAAGAAGTTTATTTTACAAGGTTTTTGTAGCATTTGAACTTCCTTTTAAATTGAATACTTTCAACACAGTATGATGTTTTTCCTTCCCTTTTCATTCATTGGATGTGCCTTCATTCATTTATTCTCTAGATCTCTATTTCTGATTATATCATATTTAGCAACACTGAAACATTTCATCAAGTAGCAAGACTTGTTTGTCTTGCCAATATTTTTCTTTCTCCTGTGTGTAACTAAGTTGGATTTAGTGGAGCTGGTCCTGACAGGTAAATCAGGCCCATTCCAGCTGTGTAATGACTCTGACTCGTGCATTTAACTGAACTTGGGACCTCGCAAAGCTACTTAATAATGGAAGTGGCTCAACCTGAGCTTCAGTATATCACAGCACACGGCTTACTGATAAGCATAATTTGCCTGTGTAACAATTAGGGATGGAAGGCTATCTAAAGCAAACTGGAGTTGCATCAAGAACCTTGAGAGGGATTGCTGTGACCAAATATAGATGTCAGCAATGCAGGTTTCTGCATCTCATGGAATTGTCTATACTCTCCCTGTAACCAGAGCAGGAAAACAGACACTCCCAGAAAAAGATTCATTGCATCTTCTTGTGTATGTCCAATACACTGTGTCTGCAGGTTCCTGTTTTTCTTTAGTGGATATAAGGAGACCTAAATGTGACTAGTTTAGGAGCAGACATCAAAAATATCCACATAACCACATGATTCTGTGATTATATTCCTTTCTGTAACTTATTTTCTCTTCCACTATTTCTTGACTCTGTTTTACTGTTTTTTGTTGGAGGGTTATGTCATTTAAGTGTTAGAAATATCATATAGTGTATGAAATTCCTAGGTCCTGAGCAGTGCTTAAATAGAATAGAATAACATGACTTACTTGGAAGATTCAGTGGTTGTCTAATGATACAGTTCACAGTTATCCACTCTGGGTCAAGTTGCTTCATTTTGAGGGCCAGACAACAGACCCCAAACACAAGAGGGAATTTCAGTCTGGAACAAAGTTAAACCCTTCTTAGAGAGGCCTTTGGTCCTGCAAGCTTGTATGTGGCTATAATTTTCAGATAAGCCCATTGAGTTTCTGTTAAAATGAGGCAAAACTACACACTTTTAGTGCTTATGCACTGAATGTTGTCATTTTATAATATGAAAATGAAGTTCTTTTTCATTTGGCTTTCTAGAGCCTCCAGCCTTTCTGGATAATCCCCACTGTAGAGTCACCTTCTGTTTTCTAGCTCATGTTGCTGTAAATGAAACAAATCAGGAGCTGAGCAGTTGTGACTTCATACTTTTTCCTCCCAATGTTTTCATGACATCTATTGCTCTTTGATGGGAGACTGAACAAACCAGGAGAGGGACACACTTCCCTTGTAGGACAGGGGTAAAAACACAAGTCTGGAGGGAGTTTTGTCAAGTCTGATTTCTACAGCTTTCCATAAGCTTTTTTTACATATTATGAAGAAAGAGAGCTTTCTCCCAGAGGATGAAATAAAGTCAGTTTCTGTTTGTGTTGGGAACTCCTGACTTAGTACAGCCCTAATTACCTGAAAATTTAAATTGTCCTCCATAAGTTTTGAATTAAAGACAGAAATCTGGAAATAACAGATGAAACTGCATTACTTTCTTAGGGTAACAACCAGTGTTAACAGAGAACTTGATTTTACATGGGTCTAGGCCTGAGGCACTGTTGTGACCACCCCTCTCTCTTTCAAGCACTGCATGTCCAACATGTCAGCTTTTCCTTCCCATCTTTGCTGAACATGCAATGGTCTTAACATGGAGACTGAAGGGAAGTCAGATTCAGATTTGTTCTTTTTCCAGTCTTCTCAAGCCAAACAGTACTGAAGTGGTAAAATATTCACCAGGAAAAAAACAGGAGGAATTTACCAACATACTGACCTAGGTGTCTTTCTTCCTTTCTTTCTCCTTTCTTTTTTATTTCTTTCTGTAGTGGAAACTCCACCTCCACCCTACCATGCAAGAGAACCTCCAGGAATCCACAATGGACGGTCAATGGATGCAATAGCTGAAAGTCAGCTAGTGCTGTCTTTGCCCAATGGAGGTAAATCTGCCGATGGAGAAGCTGAAAGTAAATACCATTTATACTATTCTTTAAATAAAAACTTTAAAGAAAAAAAATTGTTTTAAAAAATTGTTATTTGCACATGAAGGGTTAGTGATCTGTAATAATAATTTTGAGTCAGTTTTGCAGTAAGGCTGTGTGCTAGACCCATCCATTAGCTAGCAGGAGAGGTTGAAGTACTATTTCCATGAATTATGTGCAAAGTTACAGAGTTTAGACCTTATTTGCATCCATGGACTATTACAGTTAAAAAGCTGTTAATGCAAGCAAACACTGTTATCTACATTGTAAAGATAAACATATCAAATCAGGGATGGTGGGGCAATATAACACACAAAAGAGTTATCAATATCAGAACTCATTTCTTTATCACCTTCAGCTCTAGGTTTCAAGTACTTTAAAGCCTTATGGTGGGGACTTTTTTACTGCCATCTTTGTATAAATGTTATGGAACTGCCTGGCTGGAAAAGGAAAGGACATGTTCTAGTGGAGTACCAAGATATTTTGACAGAACTCCAAAGTCTTTGTCGTCTTATAAGAATTATTTAGTGAGACGCATTAATGGTCAAAGAAGGTTCTGGGGTCCTGTTTGCACCCCTCAAACAACTTGATGACCTCTCCTCTTGATGGCCTTTCCTACCTTTGGGCTAGTACTGGCTAGTGCTAATGCCCCCACCATTCAGAGCCCGTGCTGCAGAGTAGGAAGGGGAAATGGAATTCCTCTGCTGGCTTTTGCTTTGGCTTCCTGCTACTGCAATGAAAAATCACTGATGTTCTTTTAGTCCATCATATTGTTTTCCTAAAGAAGTGTCATTTCCAGAATGAGGACTGACATTAAAAAAAAAATATTGCCAGCCTTCTGAAACAGTGAGGAGTGTGTATTTAGCATGGAACTGGAGCAGAAGGAATGTGAGGGGATAGTGCTAATTATGGATGGGGACACAGAATGGCTGGATAATAACAGGTTATCAGACACCAATACTTATAAATAAATTGTCAAGCTAGTTTAATCTCTTTATCACAGCCTACCATCCCTGATCACTATCCTAGCGAATATTAGTTGGAAGTTTATTAGAGGTTATGCACAGAGGTGCTCTGGGGGCAGGCGGGCTCACATGCCTGTGGTGAGCAGGAAGGATAAAGTTTCCTACTAATTCCTGTAGGACAAATGAGGCTCAGAGATTCTGTTACATTTTTGAGTCTTTCTCTGTCTCTGACTTAGAAAACCTGACCAGGGGTAGATCCAAAAGAAATGACCTTGCTGGCATTTCTGCTTACAGTCCCACATGGAAGCGGAAAGCCTGAAAGCTTGCAAAAATTGGAGTGATTTATTACTTCTGAACTCTAGAGTTTGGTATTAGGCTGAAGGCCTAATACCAAAAACTTGGCTCAGTTTTGACTTGCTTTGAGCCCATCTGTCATCTCTATCTCCTGCTGGTGTGCAGAGCAGATGTATCCCTTTCTATTTTCAGTGTATAGTTTGGGCCCCAGTTCAGCAAGGAATGTCAGTGTGGTTGATTTAATGCAGTGGAGTTTCCACTTTTAAGAAGAAGTGGGGCTCTTCGAGGCTTAGACTTAAGCTGATGCATCAACCTTTTGCATGTTTGGTACTTCAGTCATAAAATCAAAAAGCAAAGGGAGCTTCTGTGGGGATAAAGTATGACATAAGTGACTGTTTAGATAAAGAGATGGGGGTCTGAGAGTGGGAGGGAATGAAAGAAAACAGAGCAAGATTGTTTAAAAAATATTGCTGAAACCTGAGCAGCTGCTTAACTTTATTTCCTACAGACTTTCGGCCTGTTTGTTATGAGGAACCCCAACATTGGTGCTCAGTTGCCTACTATGAACTCAACAACCGAGTAGGGGAGACTTTCCAGGCCTCCTCTCGAAGTATCCTTATAGATGGATTTACAGATCCTTCAAATAACAAAAACAGGTTCTGCCTGGGTCTGCTCTCAAATGTAAACCGCAATTCTACTATAGAAAACACCAGGAGACACATAGGAAAAGGTAAGAGGAAATCCCCTCTCCTCAGGAGTAATATTCAGAGCTCAGAAGATCCATGCATTGCATGAACAAACCTATCTGATTCATCAGATGTGCTTGCCTTAAAAATCAGACCTCTGACATTACTTGTGAAATAGAAGAAAAGCAGAGGATTCTTTTCTGACTGGATAACAATCAACAGAGTAACTCCTTACAAAGGCTATTTACTTGGCCAGCAAAGAGAAAAATGTTGTTTATAGTTGTGTGTTCTAATTTAGCAGTATGTATTTTCATTTTATTTATTGGAGCTTCTGGCAACTGGGAATATTGCCATTGAAATGCCACTAAAAGGATAATTGCTGGTGCCTCAGGGCTGCTTCTCCTCCCACCAAATAACAAAGGGAGATGGATGAAACACTTAGTAGTTGAGTTGCTTAGCTGAAGAACTCTGGTGGAGTTGTGTTTGTAGCTTCCCCCCCCCCCCCCCCCCCCCGCCATCCTCCTCCTGCCAGTCTGATTCCCTGCTTTGCCAGCTTTTCACTGGTAAAACTAAGGTTTGTGTCCTCCCACCAGTGGCTGCTGGTGCAGCTCTGTGTGCTCCAGCGCTGGTGTACAGATACCCCCAGCATGCAGTGCTGGGGCCAAGCACCAGGAGTCCACACCTGGACACACATGGCCACACACACTCTGTCCCAGCTCCCCAGGGTTGTGTAGGGTTTGATATTCTCCCAGAACTTACTGTTGTTTGTGGTGGTGAGTCAGAAGCTCTGTGCCAGCCACTTCTCCATGCAGATGAAGCTTTGCCTGTTCTGGTACATCCAGTCTAGACTCATTATCTTGCCAACCCAGCCTCTCACCAGTAGTTGCCTGGGAATGCATTTCCCACTGGGCTAATTAACTCTAATTGTTCCACTCCTATTATCTTGTCAACCTCACCTCATTTCCCAGGCCTAGAGCAATATTTTAATTGGCTCTTGATAGTCTAGTGTTGAATGACTGAATATGAGGAAGCTCTGAGACAAATGTGATACATTTTTTGCAAACAGCAGTGAACCTGAAGGCTGGAGCAGGCAATGTTGTGCTAAGCTCTTGCACTTTTCCCCAGAATGAAAAACACTTATGTTGCAGATGCTACAAGTGTGTGCCATAGTGGTTCGTTGTGTGGAGTGCAAATGTGTTGTACATCTAGTTCTAACTTAGAAAATAAAGCAAAGCTTTACATCCTATCAGCGTAAGCTGTCAGAGGGATGTGGATCAAAGCTGAGCATGGCCCTAAAAGAAGAAAGACAAAAGATCCCAGCTGTCATTTGGCAGTGTTGCAGTCTGTGACTTTCTGCCCCAAAAGATGAGGAGACAGAAGAGAAATAAAGTTGGGTAAATGCTAATGGTCTTCATCCATTTAAATGTGAAGATCTGTCTTAATTGATTGGAAGTCCTTTAAAGTCCTACACTAGGAATGTGCCCAAGGGAAGGGAGCAGATTGCCCAGAGAGGAGCTTAATATATCAGAGATCCTTAATTTTACTGCTCTTCCCTGTTTATGCAAATCCTAAAAAATCATATGCAAGTGGAATAGAAGTGGCACCAGTGCAGGCCTGCAGAAGAGCACAGAGCAGCTCCAGAAGCGTATAGTTCAAAGGCATGGTGGACAGATGAAAGCTGCTGAAATGGATACAATTGTCACATGTTAACACTGGAGAAAAAAGAGTGAGTAAACAAGATTAGCTCAGTAGGATAAGGATATGGGATTGAATTGTCATCTAGAGTATCAGCGTGAAACCATTTCCTGGAAATACCACATCAAAGCTAAAAACAATCCAGAACACAATGCTACATCTACGAGCAATTGGACCTGTTTCAGCAGTCAGACTTCAAGGACAAAAAAGTAACTTTTGATCAGTGTCAAAAAGATGTGGATGCTTGGAGACTGCTGAGGCAGTTTCTGCAGTTTCTTTCAGTTTCTGCAGAGGCAATGAAATACCACCTAAACATATGGACCTTTGATTTGGTCTTCTACAAATATGTATTTAGCTGCTTGGTTTCCTTTAGGATGCTTTCCTCTGGTGAATGAGTACTAGAATAATAGGAATACACACTGATTAGTGTTGTATTTACTGCTTTTAAAAAGTTCACAAGAAGAAAACAATTTGTAACCTCTGCTTTCAGAAGCGGCATTGATGTTTTTGTTATTGTAGCACAATGTTTGGGCAATGCCTTTGATAGCATTCTTTTTTTTTAAGAAAATGGGTTACTTAATATACTTTGAAAACTCAGCCTTTAAAAATTTTCACCTTAGCATCCTCTGTGTGACCCTAAGTCTGTAGCTTCTCCTGAAGATTTGAAATGTGGTGCACATTTACGTCCTAATTCTTCTCTCCCTACCCTCTGTTCTCACTTCATCTGATTATTTCAGACAGCTATATGGACTCCATTAAGTTCCTTTCTGTCCTTCTCTTTTGCCCATTTCCATGGGAAGGAAGATCAAGCGGTAACAGCCACGGTGTGCAGCACCCCACGGTGCCTGGTGCAGCTGGAGCTGATGCTTTCCTGTCGCTGCTGTTCCCAGTGCAGCACCAGAGTGTGCTCCAAGCCACAGCCCTGCCACTCACAGCTCATTTCAGATCTTGTGGCTGCTCAGAAGTCAAGTGATGGCTTGAAGACAGACTTTAAGGTTCCCATCTGAGTTACCCTGGAAGACTATGGGAGAGTGTATTTTTTCCCAGATTCTTTTCCCACTCAACCTGCTTTCCCCCGTGCCATTCCCACTTCTGTCTAGAGGCTGGTTTTGACCTAAGGATGTGCTGCTGCCCCTTGTTGTTATGACTGCAGAATGATAAACAGACTGGGAATATGTAACCAGTCTGTTTGTATGAAAGACAGCGGGAATAAAACTAATTACAGCTGCATTATTAAAGCACAGTTACCAGTAGCTTTGCAGGCAGTCTGCTGAGGCTCTGTGAACATTTGTGTGTGTTTGAAGAGCATACCTAGTATTAGAGAGGAGGATTTCATTTTTATTTAGTAGTGGTTTTTACAAGAACAAAGAATTGAGTTTTTCCACCTCTCTTGGCCCTGGGAAGGATTCATTTCCCCTAATCTAGCCATGGGAAGGGTGACTGGGCATTTTCACGGATGACTTGTCCCCTTTCAGGTTTGTGGCTTCATGCTCACTTTTCAAGCAGTCAGGGTCCTCATTGCCACACTTGTACTGATGAAGATCTCACAAGATCTCACTGAAATTAAATTTTGTTTTGTTTGTTTTCAATTTTATTAGCTGGTTCAGTTCCTCAGCCTGGACAGTAGCCCAATCCTCAGCTGTTGCTGCCAGCATGAAAGCAGGTGTGTCAGCAGGGGCAGGGAATGGGAGAGCCTTTTCAGCACCTGCACAGGCTTCCATGGCATTAAGCTGGCTCTGAGCCTGCACTCTGTAGCAGATGGAGTGAATCATCTGGTCACAGTGCCTCTCTCTAGCTATCAGCTAGAGAAGGCATCTACACAGTTATCATCTTACAGATGATCCCCAAATTCAAGGTTGCTGAATTAGGCTAAGATAAATTCTCCCACCAATTCAGGTATGTTTTCCTGCAAGCACATATCCTTGGTGGATCAGAGTATTTGAAGGGATAGAAGTGCTTCCACCTTAATTTCCCCAAGTCACAGTCAAAATTTGAGTTAGTATTGGTAAGCCACTTGGGCACTGAAAAGTTCTGAAGAAAAGCAGTCATTTTCATGCTAAAGGTCACTTGGAACGGGATCGGATGAGTAAGTCACATCATGTAAATGCAAATACATGGTTCTGATGTGGGAGATAAAGCAAAATACAGAAAAATATTTTAAGTACATGCCATGCTGTGTTTTAAATGTTTGACAGTAGGACCCTGTAGTAAAACAACAGCGTGCAGTGAAGTGGGTCTTGGCCAGTGCACATTTGCTTAACGGCGAAAATACATTTAGCTGTGTAATGCAATAGTGATTTTTCCATTCTTGGGTAGTTTTGATTGATGTTTAGGACATTGTTGACATGTGCTTGATGTTTATGTATGTGTATAAAGTGCGTTGTGAAAAATGGAGACATAATACATGTTACTTTTTTTTTTTTCCAAGGTGTTCATCTTTACTACGTTGGTGGAGAGGTTTATGCTGAATGTGTCAGTGACAGCAGTATTTTTGTGCAAAGCCGCAACTGTAACTACCAGCACGGTTTCCATCCTGCCACGGTCTGCAAGATCCCCAGTGGCTGCAGCCTCAAGATCTTCAACAACCAGCTCTTTGCCCAGCTTCTTGCCCAGTCAGTCAATCATGGTTTTGAAGTGGTGTATGAGCTGACCAAGATGTGTACGATTCGAATGAGCTTTGTTAAAGTAAGGATTCTTTGCTTCCTCTTACATCCTTGCTTTTGCTTTCTCTTGCATCCTTTGGTGCAAAACTAGATCACATCAAATCCGTTCCAAGGGAAGATGTAGATACCCAACTTTTGAATAGCAATTTATACTGCCTGTTTTCCAGTATTGCCTTAAACTTTTAGGTGCTCAAACTCAATAGCTTTTGTGGTCAACCTGAAAATCTCTGAGATTACAAAATTCAGGTGCTCCATAGACTCTCTGTGGAAAATAGGCAGAGAAATCATGGTGGTGTTCCCCCACTGATTGTTCAAAAAGCTCAACTCAGAAAGGCTTACCAACATATAAATGTTGTAGCACGTATCTTAGGCAGTTGTGATCTCTCCCAATGTTACTGGCTTGCAATAGAGCTTGACAGAGCCATTGACCTGAAAAGAATGTTCTTTAGGCTAATGTGTATTTACGCTAATTTACAGTCTCACCAGTACCACAGACTGGTATATATTGTCTTAATCAAGAAACACTGGGTCCTTCTTCATCCCTCACTGAGCTTGCAGAGAATTGTTTGCCATCTGCGCAATCCCTCACAAATACTGTTTTACTTTCTGATGATATTCACTCTGGCCAGCCACACAACCAGAAGGGCTTCTTGCAAGCAGAACAGAAAACCCAAAAGAATATTTTACCTTCCCCCTGTTATTTGGGAGAGACAAGGGGCTACCAAATCCATTACTGTTCTGATGTCCTTCCTATTTGATTTTCACAGCCTGACTGCTCTGTGGGAAATCTATCAGTCTTTGTGGGACTTTCTCAAATCTTCTGAATGGCCTTCTCACCAGAACAAGATCTCTCAACTGCTTTTAGCACTTAGGATTTATTTGCATGCCTGTTGTAGCATCTAACCCCCAAAGAATGGCTTGTGTTTTGAGATAGTTTCCAGATGATGCTAGACCAACATGCTATAGTGCTGCTGGGGAGAGCTGGCAGTAATGTTCAGCCTACAAACTAGAGCACTTGCACCATTAGAAGCTCTTGGTCCTGCTAGGTGCCATAAAAATGCTTGAGTATGTTCCTTTGTCTTGCACATTTGTTTTTATACAAATGACTGAATTGAGGTGATTGAATTCTCATCTAAGATACCAAAAAGTGCTTGAGGCTCAAGTCCAGTTTCCTTAAGTTCTACAGAGCTGATGAGTTGAGTCCTACATATCTTTCTGGTCTAACTTTTTCTAGCCATCCTTGGGGACCCATCTTTTTAAGTCTTCAAGAGAATCAGGAGTGCCCTGTAATCTCTCCCAGAAGTCCAAGCCAAAATCTCCATGCCCATGCTGTTGCTTTGTTCTTGAGAGTGAACTGATATCTTATTCACATACAAGCATTAGGGCAAAAAAAAAAAAGGAAGCAAGAAACCACACAAACAGCATTTTCTTTTGTGGAAGACATGAATGGGCATGCTGCTTGTAAAGGCAGTGTAGCCAGTTACACAATATTTTCATTATCTCAGCGATTCAGGGGCAAGCTCTTTGATGTGTTATCTGCCTCCATGCCCAGCATGGCAGCAGAAATGGTGGTGTTGATGCACTATATAATGCTGCTGCCATATTATCACCTTGCTTTGTTGAAATAATAGCAGCTATTATTGTGCTTCAGTCACCATAAAACCAGTGCAAGGAGTTATTTATTTTGAACTCTTTCCCATGACGTCTGGAAAATTGCTATGCAAATCTCATCTAGGTTCTTTCTTCCTGGCCTGCAAATACACTTTCCTTTATTCAGTCTTCCTAAAATATTTCACTCCCAAGGAGTGAGCCCACCTGTGTTCAGTCTGGGGTCAGGAGTGATCCTGGATGTTGGGGATGCAGTGCCAAAGGGGCCTGCTGCCTGTCAGAGCCATAGTCCAAGAGAGCCCTCATGTGTAGAGCAGTGCTGTGGCTTCTCTGCTGACTCATGTCCAGACACTGCTGGGCACCTACAGCCCAAAGGGCTGGAGATCCTGATCTGACCCCACCAATGCCTGAGCTACCAGCTGGGAGGCAGGGATAGATAGGGACTGAGATATGAGAAACTTGACAGGGCTGTGCCCTCTTCTGATGTAGGGCATGGGACAGAGGGAGGTGAAGGTCTTGTCCCCTCTGATGCCCTTTCTGTGCCCACTGAGCAGCTGAGAGGAGCTCAAATGTGGTTGTATCATCAGTGGGAGCAGCTTCCATCCACTGACCACTGCTGATAACCAAAGCAGGTTGCCTCTTGCCACCTCTCCACAGGTGAAGCAGCTGCAACACTAGTGGAAGAGATGGAGAGTTTCTCCAAGCCGAGGTCTGAACCCAGCTCAATCCCTCCCACACCTCTCCAGGTCTTGGGGCTAAGGGGAGCACCCATCAGACTTGAAAGCTCAGCACTCTGGGACACGGAGACTAGGCTGGAGAGAGCTGTTGCCCACAGGAGGAGGGAAGTGTTGGCAGGAGCAGCAGGACCCATGAGAGTACCAGTGTCCTCTTTTCCACCATCTGTGGAAAACATCACTGCAGCTTTGAAAGTTGTACACACTTCATTCCCTCGTTAAGAGAACTCCAGCTCTGGGCTCTTCTCAGTCCTGAGGTGAAGGAGGCTACCTGCAACCCAAGAGTGATATACAGGGAGCATCAGAGTCCTTGCCCTCCTGGCATTTCCCCTGGGGGTGCTCCAGCCAGAGACAGCATCGCTGGGAGTGTTTGGGAGTTGCCAGCAGAGGGAGATGGCCAGCCACTTGCCAGGCTCCCCCAAACCCGGCACATTGTGCTTGAATCTGTAATTGCTGTTCCTCTAGATTTTCTGTCCTGCCTGTCAGCAAGGTGTGCCAGCTGCTCTGACACTTGCTCTCTTGGCTGTGTATCTTCACTGCAGTTGAGTACTTGTGACTTCACCACCTCAGAAGTCTGACTGTGCTGGCATTTTATGCAAACATTTACAGAACATCAATCTGAGGTTCTGTGAATGCAGGCTCTTTCTAGTCTGAGAAATGCTCTGCAGTTCAGAAAAATGCTGTCTGTTTGGAAGTACTCTTTGGGCTTTGGTGGGTCCATATCTTACTCTGTTGCTTTCTTTCCCCTTTTCTTCATTAATTAGCATGGATTTTATCCAGACCACTTATGGTGACATCTCATTTTAGTGTTGATCCTAATTTTCCAGCTATCATCTAAAGAAGTAGCTGCACTGGCAGCCACAGCTGTCTGAGCTGCTCAGCACTCTCAAATTTTGGTGACTTTGGCAGCAATCAGTCTTAATACACCTCATATCCATTTTCGACAAGAATACCAACCTGCCTGCTTATCATAATGACAGTTATGACTCAGTGTCTGATCAGCATCCCACAAATGAAGATCCTCATCCTGTAGTGGGACCATGTTTTGCACATTGCCCTATGGAAATCTGAGATCAGTTCTGCCAGTGAGACATCTGGTGAGCTGCAAGACTCGGGGCTGTGACTCGCATGCCTTGTGTTGCTGTGACGTCAGGCTGCCTGCTTAGCACTGCTTAGACACTGTGCCTGCTTGAATCAGAGAATATGCTGAGTTGAAAGGGATTCATCAGGATCATCAAGTCCACCTCCTGACCCTGCACAGCAATATCCCCAAGAATCACACCCACAAGCATTATCTGAATGCTTCTTGAACTCTGTCAGGCTTGGTGCTGTGACCACTTCCCTGGGATGCCTGTTCCAGTGCCCAACCATCCTCTGAGAGAAAAGTCTTTTCCTTACTTAAAACTGCTCCTTGAAGCATGGGTACTTCAGGTTTTCTCTTCTCCCTGCCAGCACCCCATGCCTACCTTCTCTCAGATGCCTCATGTCCCTTATCTTCCCCAAGAGAGTTGGAGAAATTACTGCAGGACTTCCCACAGCAGACAGCTGGGAACTCTTGTTGGCAAAGAGGACATGTTCAAGGATAGAAAACCCATGGGCAATATTTATACATAAGCTAAGTATGGTACATAGGGCTGGAAGTTTCCAGAGATTAGGCAAATACTTAGAAATTCTAAATTCTTAGAATCAAAGGATGAATCTCTACCAATACACGAAGCAGTGCCCAGGACCATCCCTAGTTCCTGTTAATGAAAAAGGCTGGCCTGCTTTTTGTCGGTGCCTGACAGCAGTCTGCCAGACTTCCCCAGGCATGTCCCTGGGGTGCAAACAACAGGGACCATTCCCCACGGGCTGTTTGCAGGCAGCCAGGCTTGGAAACAGGCCTTTCCATGCTAGTTGTTCTCTGCACCTGGAAGTGTAACTGAGATTTTTAATTTAATAACATTGAGTCCCTGGTAATTATGCTAACAATGACCTTAAAAAGGAGCTAAGTTTTTAGAGAAAATTATCCCTAGGATAAAGTAGCAAATCTTGGGAACTTGGATGGTGGACTGTCTGTGGTTGTGTTAGACTGTCAGCACTGGAGTTATGATTTAATGTTTTGAGTGTTTTTAAAAAAAAAAAAAAAAACCACCTCACTTTTTGGTCCTTTTATAGGGCTGGGGAGCAGAGTATCATCGCCAAGATGTTACAAGTACACCCTGCTGGATTGAGATCCATCTGCATGGACCATTGCAATGGCTGGATAAGGTGCTGACACAGATGGGCTCACCTCACAACCCCATCTCCTCAGTCTCTTAAGAATCATCTCTAGAATTCCCCTAGGATGGATGCTATTGCAGGCAGTGGCTTATAGAATTCCCATGAACAGAAGCTTCTATATGTAGATGTATGTAGATGTAAATATATCTATACATAGTCTACTGTCTTTTTTAATTTTTTTTTTTCATTCTGTGGTTTCTAGTTACTCTGATGCCAGTACAATAAGTTTAGAAAGTCAGGTATAGCATATCTGTTCTCTAGTACAAAATAAGCCAAATTCCTGCAAAAGTGTCAAACATTTCCTGTGAGCATCTTCATTCCCCAGCCAAGCCAGTAAACGGTGCAAATTCCCAGCACTTTCACGTGGGTTCAGAAACCTGTCTGTCACTACTCCTAGTAGGTGAAATTCACCCTTCTGCAGGCAATCAAAATCAGATCTCTGGGCCATTTAAATTCATCTTACATCCTGATTTCAAGTCCAGAAGAGGACCTGAGGTGGTGCACAGGACTTATGCATAGAGGTGACTTTTATCTAGGGAACTGAAGGACTAAACTGCCATTCCAGTCTGTCTCCCTACCGCAAAGCACGATGGGACAACAAATCCTCTGAAGTGCTGGATGCACACTGTCTCTCCTGGGATTTGGCAGGAGAAGGGAGCATGTTCAGCACACGAACCTTATCTCAGAGCATTCTGGACAATCTGAGTAGTCTGATACTGCTAACATAGTAGGGTATGGTACTGCTGCACTGAAAAGCAACAAGCTCCTAAGAAAAAAATAGTAATTTAAATATATGCCCATGAGTTAAAAAAATTAATTAACTTCCAGTGCTTTTTTGCAAAGTACATACAGACTTGCATATGTGTCGGGTGTGTAAACTAAATCCTGTTCATTCTACAGTATTGATGTAGCTTGTTTTAAGATTAGGACTGTCTGTATTTAGACTGCTGTGCTGATATCAAGGTACTTCTAAAAGGGATTTGAACTGTGATTCAGAAAAGGGACATTAATTGTGCATTGAAGAAGCAAATCATTACTTTATCATTCATCTTGGGAACAGAAAGCCCCACACTCAAAGGATGCAATGAGAAGGAGATCGGAGCCATGTCCATCCCCTGTATTGGGCCAGTCCTCGGGATCTGACAGCATTGCTTGGGTCTGACTGAGAGGGTTTCCCTGCCAGTCACTCCATACATCCCTGTCATCCCTGTGGATGCTTTCTCATCTTAGGTACACGCTTCTTCATTTGCTGAGCTTTTGCCTTGCCTGCAGAGGATGGTGAGGCATGGTGAAGCCATGAACAAGTAAAGAGTGAATCTGTGTGCAGAACCTTGTCTGTGTTCTTTCTGTAAGAAGGGAAACCTATTGCCCATACCCTACTCTCATCCTTGCAAAATGCTGTTCACTTGGAAACCTTTCCTGAGAAGACATTTTGATAATCTTTCCTTTTGCTGAAAGAGTTGAGATTATTTCTTTCCAGGCATAACAGTCCACTGAAAATCATTTTTATTTAAGGGTCAGAAAGACTGAAAACATCTGCAACATAATTCCTCCATAGAACAAGCAGAAATATTAGTGGGAAAAAAAATGTTTTTCAGAATATGTCTTTTCTTCTCACACAATATCTGGTGCTGGACATTTTGCTGCATAACTAGAAGAAGACTCCTGAAATCTTCAGCTGTATCACAAATGCAAAAGGAAATAATATTCACCAGAAAGACAGTGAGTAAACTAACAGTGTTATTTCATTTGAATGCATCTTCAGCTTTAGCAGGGCACAGAAGGATAAATTGTTGTTAATTTTGAGCAGTAGTAGCAAGTTTTACAGGAAATTTGTAAGTGCAAAGAACCCTATTCTGTCACCATTTGATGTCAGCAATGTCACTGTGAGATAGGAAAAACTTTACAGTCTCTTGCAGCAATGAAATCCAATAACAATAATAATCATATGCAGAAATTCCAGGTGTGCCATTTACTATTTAGTAGACTTTAGAGACATCAGTTTGGAAAAATGCATTTTCCTCAGCTCTCTCTGTTACAAGTGATCAAATACTGGTAATGTTTTTTAGCACGTTTGTTGCCCCTCTTCTCCATCTGCAGCTTTGCTCCAGGATTTTGCTCTTTTTTTTTTTTGTTTTTTTTTTTTGTTTGTTTGTTTTTGTTTTGTTTTGTTTTTGTGTTTTTTTTGTTTGTTTTGGTTTTTTTTTTTTTTTGTTTTTTGTTTTTTGTTTTGTTTTGTTTTAGCAGCTAAGGACAGAGGATATCACCTTTACTGTCCAGGATCTAGCTCTGTCCCTTATCCTAGATTCTTCCTTGTCTTTTAGGTTGAAGCCTCCTTCCCTTTTAATATAGAGAGAAAGCCTAGGAGTTCCTTTTAGACATTCCCAGCATTGTCATCTTCCTCACAGAAAGCAAAGAGAAATGTTCTGAGGTGCATCTGCTCTTGGGCAGTTCCAGAACTCAGTTTTCTGTCAATACTGCAGAGAAAAATTGGAAAAATGGCCAGTGAAGAGAAGCAGCTTCTTCTGGGGCATTATTTGTTTCATCACAAGGTATTTCAGGCAGGTGAAATACATTCCTATCTGAGCATGCTTGTGTCTTCCCACTGAGTAAAAGGGGAACTCAGAGTCATCAGCTCAAATGCAGACTGCTACATTGGATGTATTAAAAAATAGATGAAGGGAACCCTAATGACAGTGTTTTGACTTTCCCAGCCTAGTCATGATGCTTGCTCAGCAAGTGTTTGTTTGGTTTAAATGGAAGTCAGTCAATTTAGAGCAGTTTTTCCTTTCCTTTATGTCTACCTTTAATCATTTTACAAATAGGATTTGGCTTCCATGTAGTCCATACATGCATCTCATTTAAGGTAGTCACTTTAATAACTGCCTTACTAATAAGAAAAGAGGCATTTCTGGAGCATGATTCTTCTGACCTATTTAAAACACCTGTATTAGCATGAGATGAATTTCAGCAAATTTCACTATTTACTGAAAACTGGATCAAAGCACTTGATTCTGGGCAATTCTGGCAACAGCCATCTGTTTTTAGCCTTTGGGAAGGCTGATACCACTGTGTCAGTTGTTTCCTATTGTGATTGTTTCTGGGGGCTTAGCCTACTGTGCTGTGCAAACACACAGAAGCTGCCAGCTCCTCCCCAAAGCCCACAGTACGTGGAAGGAGTGGTCACAGTGGATGAGACAAAAAAGTAAATAAGATTACACTTACCCAGATAAAAAGTAAGGCTAATAAACCATTTATTTCCCTTTATTTTTAACAAGGTTCCTTTTACAGGCTTTTCTAATATATATCAATTGCAATTGGTTAAAATTCAGGTTTCTTACAATTTACAGCAATAGAACTTTGCATCTCCAATGTCTTCCCCACTTTGGAAGGAGATGATTTCTGCTCAAAGGTCTTCATGAACCTTTAAACCTGTAGTCAGTTTAAGGTCTTTATAAATGTTCTACTCATTAATGCTCAGCCTTTGGAGACAGTCCTCCTGAGAGATTTAAAACCACTTACAGCAAGACTACTTAGTTGAAAGCAGATTTTTAAAATGGTTTTTTTTGAGTCATCAACAGTTCATAGCCTCTTAAAAGATTCTGTGGAGCAGTACCATGCATCAGCAGGCAGCGGCAGGAGCCTAATGGGGCAGAGTCATAAAGCACATTCAGCACGGTATGTAGACCACTTGTTTTCCTATTAAACAGTCGAGAGAAGATGACTTCAGTTGCTGCCAGTTCTTCGGCACCACCAGTATTAATGTGCTGTTTGCATCCAGAGGTGGCAGGAGCAAATCTCGCAGCCTGACTGCCTGGAGCCATTCATTGGCACTGCTGCTTGGGTGGCTCAGTGCCATCCCATTGCCTAGGAAAAGCTGCCCAGGTACGGCACAGCAGTGGCTGTAGCATTGCAGGGTGCAGCACGTGCTTGCCCTCCCCATCAGCTGCTGTTCCACCAACGTGTTTACTCCTCATCAGAGTGCTTCAGCAATCTCAGTCTGAAAGGTAACTGTGGCCCAAAGTAGCATCAGCTGAACTTGAGGAAATCCCTTCCATGTCTCCAGCAGGTACTGTGTCAAGACTTTCACTACCCTGAGCAGCCTTGTTCAAGCAGTCCCTGTCTGGTTCAGGGTGTCAGACTTGATGCCATGGTGAGATCCCTTCCAATATACTTCATCCTCTGGGTCTCTGTGGAGATTCAGTCATAACTGGTTGCCACAGGAAGGAGCTCTCTGTTAGCAGCACTTTCAGGATGAAACATGTTTCTCCTTAGCTATTTCATATTAGTGTTCCCTCAGCATAAAATCAGCACTCCAGACATCTCTCACTGTAAACGTATATTCACCACACCCCTGTTAAAATGCAGAAAATAAGGCAATTGTGACTGTAACCTTATCTAATCTGCTGTTGTTCTTCCTGACTTACAACACCCATCTTTGTCTATCAGCTCTTCAAATGAATCTCACCAGTGACTAAGGAGTTGCGCAAACAGCTGGATTTACAGAGGCAGCTCAGGCAGAGACTTGGCTTCTTGACTGCATGGAAATGATTAATAAAAAAGCCTGATCAATTTAGGAACTTTAAAGGGGTATCAAGTATAAGAATAATGTTCTTGGATCAAGACTGCTCTGGTACAACTACAAAGTATTTTAGGAATACTTTAGCACTACCTGGTACTCAGCAAAGGAAAGAAACATTACATCCTCTCTACTATTCACCTCTTCCCCTAGCTCTGCATAACCTAACTTAGTACAAGCAAAATCAAACGCAACAAAAAAAGATCAATGAGTCATAAAGTAGAGTAATTAAATACCATTTTTCAAAGCTGAGAAGTGCTGCCTAAAATGTAGATTTATATCACGAGAAGGCCATGTAGTTATAGGACAAGTGGGTAATGGCTTTACTGAAAGAGGGTAGTTTTAGTTAAGATATTAGGCAGAAATTCTTTATTCTGAGGGTGGGGAGACACTGGCACAGGAAAAGCCGTCCCAGAGAAGTTCAAAGCCAGGTTGCATGGGGCTTTGAGTAACCTGGTCTACAGGAGGGTGTCCTTGCCCACGGCAGGAGGTTGGGACTTGATCAT